TATAAACACACACACACACACACACACACACACACACACACACACACACACACACACACACACAGGCCTTATGTGTATACAGCACATAGATAATAATAGGCTATATATATACATGTCATGCTATAATTTCTAATATTCAGCTCTAACTATGCATACAGCTACAAACTCCAAGTCCACAAACGCAACTGAATTATGCGTTACATCGTCATGCCGCTCTGAGGCGCAGTTTGCTTATTTCACACAATCGATTGCATTAGAAAGAAGATGTCGTTACATCGCTGTTCCCCAAGATGGCGATATACCGCAAATATAGTGATTTTACCCGCCGCTGAGAAGCAGAAGGAATAAAACAAGCATGCTGTCATGTTATGCAGCACAAGTTCACACTTTGGAGTTTCAAAGACAGAAAAACGTCTATAAAGAAACATGGCCGGGAATATAAAAGATAAAGAAGCATATCAACGCCTGAACTTCCTCTATCAGGTAAGTGAGTTTGTGTGTCAGTTCTGTTTAATTAAATATATACGAACCATCTCATGATGTTTTCTCATGATGGATCCCAGGCTGCTCACTGCGTTTTGGCTCAAAATCCAGAGAATATTGAACTGGCAAGATTTTACTGCTTCACTCAGAAGACCATCTCCAAACGACTGGTACTTAGACAGTGAGTGGCTTCTCCTCATTAATAATGTGGATTTTAAATAAACAAACATCAATGATGTAGCTTCATTTCCTTACAGAGATCCATCAGTAAAGAGAACCATTTGCAAAAAATGCTGCACTTTACTAATACCAGGTGTCACATCAACTGTACGACAAAAAAGTAAGTCTATCTATCTAGAGATCTATATCTATACAGAATTAACAATGTATAATTAATCTTAATATTGAAGGAGGACCGTGGCGACAACGTAAGACTATTGTGCGATGTTTAAGTTGTGGACTGACCAAAAGGTTCCCAAACAACCCAAAACATAAACTGTGGGTGGATCAACCTGAAGCTCAACTAGAAAACCAGACTTCACGAGGTAAAGAGGATCATTGACTGTCTTTGAACAGTTTTTGTCATTAATTTTACTTAAAGTCACCATGAAATCAAAATGGAAACTTCTTATTTTTGAATGTAATACTGTAGTGTTTATTATAAATAATTTATCCGTACACTTCATTATTTTTAAAAAATTCATGTGCCCTCATAATCTTTAATCAAAAACGGTAACCTCCCCTCCCCCTCAAAATGACTCATCTTATCTTCCGGTCACGAGCTATGGCGCAAGGGTGGAGCTATCTGGAACTGCCAGCAGCTGCAGTGACGTCAGTGACGTTTGGGGGGAAAAGCTGAAGCTGATGCTTCACTTTATAGCACTGACACCAGTCATGAGGGAGTACGTTACCCTTAAACATTGAAAAGATATTAGGGATGTTCATTTCGGTTATTTTTCCCAACCGACGCTCGTTAACCGATTATTTTAAATTAGAATTGAATGAACCCTTTAGGCGCCAGGGATTTTTGGGAAAAATGCTGGATTTTGACATCAAGATTTCAAAAGCTTTTGGCTTGAAAGGGCTTAAAGATAGAGATCTACTGTAAATTAGAAAAATGTTGGGCATGACCGAAAGTTTATGTGGGGTGTAAATATCCTCGTCTAATTTGCATATTATGATGTCATCAGAGGCGGCCATCTTGAATTTCATAATATTCGGGAAATAGTAGATATTGAATTGTTGTTTGAACTTATTTGCATGTTGTTGTTTTTTTTTTAAATCTTTTTATCCTCCTTCCAAATGATCAGAAAAGATGAAACCAACAATAAACCAGGAGAAAGTGCTAAATTATTACTATATTACTATACTATATAGTAGTAAAACGCATGTGAACAGTAGCCTACTTTTTGATCAGTAATATTCAGGAAATAATAGATATTGAATGGATGTTTGAACTTATTTGCAAGGTTTTTTTATTTATTTTTTGTCTTTTTATCCTCATTCCAAATGATCAGAAAAGAGGAAACCAACAATAAAACAGGAGAAAGTACTAAATTACCAACAGGCTCATCAAAGTGTTTGATCCAGTGACGATCGTCATTTCCAAAAGGCAAATATTCCCCTTCAGAGTCAGAATCGGCGAATAACATTTGTAACACATCCTCACGGTACAACCTTTTATTAGCCATTTGCCGATTTTCTCTCACAAATCTCACAATTTACTCAGACTCTCTGAACTGAACTGCTTCCGCATCAATGACACGATAGCTCACTTGCTCTGCTATTTGCTCGAACACTTTGAATAGGAACATGACGTCATTTTGGTCTAGAATCGATGTACTACATGTCTGCCATCTAGTGGTAGGGAATACAAATGAGATATTACACCATATTAGGAACTACAGTCTATTTTATTAAGTATGACGTCTTGTCGCAATTTTGCGACTTTGGCGCTTAGAGGGTTAAATTAGAAAGGATAAGTGTCTGTGACCCGTTAAAAACTAACATTTGTTTCCCGGGGATTCATTTTACATGCGCAAAAAGTAGTAAACAACAGAACATGAGGATTCACATGGTCATATCACATCACGCACCTGCAGCGCTTCTGCGAGCGGAGAAAAACATAATAAAGCTAGGCTAACGAATAAACTAGCTAACAGCTAACCAGTGAACTAACTGGTTCACCGCAAATATTCCCATTTGTAGCAGTTAAAGCTTAGATAGCAGGCTAATTGCTAGTGATACTAATCTAGCAAGTTATTATTTTAGTTGTATGTTAAAATTGGAGGTTAATTAGTTATTGTATGTTACACTTGCTGGTTAAATGACAATCTGTATGCTAAGCTAACAGGCTAATCGGCTAATGGGATGCTAAATTAATTGGTTAACCAGTTGGCTTGTGAGATAACTGAAAAAAAAACCCAGAACATGTTTATTTGACTATTTTTTAACATCAATTAAATAATATACATGAAATATAATTTACATATGACAACATATATCATAAGCAATTTTGTACAAATGACACAATTCACCTTTAGCATTGTATCTGGCCTCTAATATTGTAAATACATGCTGTATCTTTTATTCTTCTGTCTACAGATGCTGGTCCTTCATCTAAGTCCGCAACCCAAGAGAAAAAATCTGATATTGGCTCAGCGTCCACAACAGCGAAGACTTCGTCTACAGCTCAAGCAAATCTGACTAAACCTTCATGACACTCATTTTATGAAACTGTACATACATTAATATAACTATAACAAAGTGAACTTTGGGGGTGGTATTTTTATTTTATTTTTTTTGGTTATATTTTTGCAGCCTTTAGATTTGTTTAAAAATGCATTTTTATTTTCCTGACTTGATGTGCAATATTGTTTTTCTTCTGCATTGAGTGGATGTTTTGAATTGCAATAAAGTGATTGTACCGTAAGTGGTTGATTTACATTGCTAATGACTTTTATTCTGTACTTTTATGCATACTTTAATATCATTAAACTCTACACAGCTTCCTGCAACAGAAGCGTTTTCTTTTATCACCCGGAGCATATGGAAACCTGGTGGGAATTCAGTTGCCTGCATAAAAATGGATTGATCTACTGTTGCTAAATTACCTCTTTATCCAAACCATCATGTGGGTATTTCACTTTAGACATGCGCCTCACACTTATTAGTAGTAACTTTAATGCATTTTAGAACAATGTTTCGATTATTAATTTTTTTCCCCCAACTTATAAGGCCTTAATGTTTTTTTTCCCAGTCAGTTGAACTCTGATAGTCTCTTGATCTCAGGGTAACGCGTTACATCCTGTATTGGGTGTAAAGGTTTTGATATTTGTACTTTTGAAGTTTTTGATGAGAGCAAAAGGCTTCTCTTTTGCTCGTTCATGAATTATTAAAATTTCCGTACAGGACCTCTCAGTATCACGCTTCAAATCTTGGATGCGCACCGGATGTTGCATATTCATGATATCCTGCACCCTGGCGATAATTTATAAGTGATATTAAAACCAGTTAAACTCTGCGGACCCGGATACGGGTCCAAAATGACGTTAAAAATGTTTATGCTTCACTTACATAGCCTTCCTTATATGGTATCAGCCCATATATGGGTTCATTTGAAAGCTTGGAGTGTCTTCTTTACAAAGAATACCATTCCTTTTGGTTTTTATATTCATAAAGCAGTAAAATTAAGCTTAGAAATGTATTTCCATTGTATGTGTGCAGGGTAAACATTTGAATTTGAGTATGTTAAATTTAGGCGAAAATACCAAAAAACGCCCCGAGCTTAAGTGGTTTTAAGACATTTACACATGTATGAGTGTAATTCAGTCGGTGCTGATGTTGTTAATTGGATGGGATATGGATCTTGTCGAAACTGTGCAGCCCCGAGGATATGCATCTATGGCCTGTCAATACGGAAAGTAGCACCAAGAGGCTTCGTCAAAGCCAAAGAACCCCTCCCATTTCCTCGAATTAGAGAACGGAATCAATTGCCCTGAAGGCCAGAAAACGATGCATGGGAAGACAGGATTTAATTCAATTTGCATCACATAATGTCAGTAGGAGTGCATTAGAAATTAAAATCGTGTGGCTGAGGAATTGTGCTAAATGATGACGTTTACGGACTCGAGCTGTATGAGGAGCATCAGAGGTGAAAGAAAGGTCGAAAAAGATCTAGATGAAGTGACTCATTTGCACTTTCCAGTACATTCTCATGTCTTCATCATATTTGTCTTAATATACTGGATAAAATATTAAATGCACAATTTTTTTTAACATGAAAATTATATTATGAGAAGTATATTATGAGAAATCGTCATTTGTGTTTATATATTCAGTTCCCTTTTATTCTCATTGCATATAAAACAATATAATTAGTTATATATACACACACACAAACACACATTTTAATAATGTAATTTAAATATGTTTATTATAGAATTATTTTAGAATTATTTTTTATTATTTATTTTCACCAATTTATTTTATTAGAATTATTATTGTTTTAGTTTTTGTATAAAATAATTTAAATGTTCACACA